CCCCCCATCATCAAAAACTCCTGGATCCACCCCTGACAACAGTTCTTCTTAGGACTACTCTCCTCTGGAAGATCAGATCATTCAATCAGCCACAACTCCAAGGTTCCTACAGTTTACTTTATCAACTGGTCTGCTAAATAAAATGCAGTCTAGTTTGGAGAAACAGTTCTCATTTTGGCCTAGTTGTATCAGTTGACAGACTGTAAGTTGCAGACTGTGATGGTCCTATGACGGTAGCCATACAAAGGGAATGTTGTCATTGAAATTGGCCCAGGAAGGACTAATCTTAACCTAAAATTATAAAAGTTCTTTTTCAGAGAAGCAGAATTGATTTTGTGTCTGATAAATGGAAACTGATTGATAGGCTTTCCATGTTACATGACATTGTCTGTAAGCAGACTGTACTAAAAAATTTAAGAGGCTCGTCCACCAATTCTAATCCACTGGTGAAGTTAACACTCTAAACATGGTTACTACTATTAATTGTTCTCTATTTAGCTTAAAAAGACAAGAACTAAGCAATTTTACCCTTTTCTTTGTATGGTCAGATTGTTGACTAATGATCTTGTTTCGAATGTTCTCATAATCCTACAAAAAGAAAACAGGTCATTAAATAAACTCAAACATTGATATGTTCAAGCTACCACAAGTTCTCTTCTTTGGGAGTCACATTGCATATTTAATTTATTAAAATTTTTAAAATGAATCTATCACATAATTATGCCAACTCTTCTGGATTATCCATGAGTCACCCAGATACAGAGCCAATAACCCACTCTCCCGTATGGGTGACCAAAACTCCTGGATAAAAGGAAGTTTGGATCAGTTGCCCACAAAAAACTAAGATTTCAGCTTCATATGTTCCAAAATTCCAAAATCACTGGCTTCTTGTACTTGTATTTCAGTTTCTGGCTTCATTTTCTTGCAAAATGCATGCTGTTCATTGCAAACAACTATATAAGCGAGAGCCTAATTGTTTGAGTATTCAACAAATTGAAGTCCCTGACAGATAGACATGTTTTTCCCATGAAATTGCTCAGTGAGGGGGGGGGGGTCCAAATAAAAAAAGAAATTTTCCAGGGGGGGTTGCATTGACAAATTCTGTTGGGAGGGGGTGCTGGTCCAAAAAAAAATCTCCAGATTTGAGATCTCAAGAGATTGGTATCTCTGCATTCACAAGTAGATTTTTGTATGACTACATGAGAAGGCAAGTTGTAATAAGCATTCTAAAAAAGTGAATATCTCAAAAGTGAAAACTAATTGCTATCATGATGTTATCATTGACTAACCTGTTTGGCTAAAATCCTTTCAGATTTATCAATCTCTTTTCCATCCAGCCATTTTAAACTATCCAAAGTTGCTATGACATATTCTCTGTAACCCTCATACTCTGTACAGGGATTTCCTGTTAAATAACTGACCAGAAAAACCAAAGGACATTCCAATGATCAGCTTAATTTACCCTTTAACTCCCAAGATCTCATCAGTAATTCTCCTTACTGTCTACCATACAGTTCTTGTGATGTTAGTTTTGAGAATTTGGTATCAGATCAATTAATAGTCCTCTAACTGATATTTTTCTTTATTCTCATCACTTGTTTGCTTGATATTGTGTTGAGACTGTATGGTGAAATTGTGTCTTGGTCACTTATTGGAGTTATAGGTTTAAATAACCAGTATAATTAATTGTTTTGCTCTAAATTGTGTCATAAAAGTATGCATTCCAGAGCTTAAACAGAATAGGGTGTAAAAAATATTAGTTACTTTCCCAGCCTTTTCCCAAACCTTAAGTTTTACCTCCTAAACTCAAGGCATCAAAGTAAATCACATGGCCAAAGCAGAACCAAGGGGTTTGTACCAAAGTTTAAAAATTATTTGATCATTCCTAGAAAAACCAATTTTGACCAGGGTAGTTCCAATGAAATTTGACAAACTAAGACAATGTATCTCCTCACACTATATTATTACAAGCTTGTTCTATTGGAAAGAATATCCAACATCTTGCCATTTCTAATTAACACTGGTTTACCACATTCTTTTCTCGAATTAAAATATTGGTTAACAATGATTTCAAAAACAAACGTGAAAATCCTTACAGTTCTCTGAAGTGGTAATTTCCTCTTAGTGATTCAACACTTGTCAGTTCTCCAATGAAATTGACAGTCAGATCCAACTTCTGCAAGGACTCACACCCTGAGAACAGAGTTAAACGCAGCCAACTGTTTAACAGTGGGACAGATTTATTCACATAGATAAATGATACCCATACTTAAAACTGAATCTAACATTATATTAACAATTAAAACAGATATGCAGTACTTCAATTCATGTATACATTGAGTTTTCTCACCTTCTAGGTTTTCAACCCTTGTAACATTATTCAATGCCAAATTGAGGTATTCAAGCTTCTTCAGTCTACTAACATTCTCTGGATTACACAGGTTTTATAAAAGAAATAGTAAGTTAGTGATAAAGAGATCAGTCAAAACTGTTCAAATGAAATCAGAGATGGGACAGCTTGCTTAAGAATGCTTCATGAGATGATACATCAAAATAATGCTTCACCAAAAGTAAACACTTTTTTTCTGAATTGCCTGTAATAATTAATTTAGTAAAAGACCTAGGAAGATGGTAAATTTTGAGCTCATGATCTGCAGTCATGGTAGAATTACTTATCAATCTTGACTACAACTCATGATCTATGATGTGATCTATGATGAGATCTCATGATCTCTATCTACATATTCATCAGTATGCATACAGGGTTTTCAAAATGTTTTAAAGTAAGTGTCAGATTCTCACAAAATAGGTGACTGTGAAAGGTTCATTAAGGGCCAAAAGGTAATTATTTTGACCAAAGTAACCATCGACATGTTATCAAGTAGCTGATGGCCACCAGCTTGCTTTGAAATCCTTGTGCATATACTCCACACTGTTCTCCATACATTTCTTAAGGAGCTGGTATGGAGAATTTTTCAAACAATCAAGAGCAGCTTTAGTTAATGATCATTTTCTCCCCTCTTATGACCTTTATGTTTGATTCAGGGGAGATACTGTAGAGAGAAATTAAATACTGGTCATTCTAAAGGTTAAAGGGTTAAACTTTTCAAGTAATGGACCAAGGAAAAATCCCCAACATAGAATCAACCCTCTGGCCACAGGCCACCCCTAAGAAATGCTTCATTTCCCATCCACCCACTTCTGAAAAAAGGAAGGCAATAGGAAAGAAAATGTTTCATGTCCCTAAAAACAAATTCTTGAAAAAAAAAAATCCAAGGGGCCGTTTCTCTTTGAGTTCTTGATAGAACCTTCATTCCTCCTGATGGATACTCTTCTCTCAACACAACTTACCTATTTTTGGTATTAAATTACTCTGTAAGTAGAGAATTTTCAGATCTCTGCACAGTTTATCAAGGAGCTCGATCCTTAAGGAAAATAAAGGAAGAGTCATTGGCCAGTAGCAAAACATTAATACCAAAATATAAATGCATCCCTGAGAGTGATCTAAATTGTTCAGGATAAAACTCAAATTTTTGAGTGATTAGGATACAAGATTTACTCTTTTTAATTTGGTTAGCCCTTTCACTCTCAAAATGTGACTAAGACAGAATTTCTTCCTATAATATTGATACAATATCAAGTTGGTAGGTGATGAGAATGGAGAAGAATATCAACTATGGGATTATTAGTTGATCCAATACCAAATTCTCTGAACTAACATCATAAGAATTATATGGCAGATAGTAAGGAGACTTACTAATTAGATCTTGGGAGTGAAAGGGTTAACTCTTTATTCAAGTGTCAATAATACCTAACAGTTTTACTCTAATTGAGGAATCTATAAAAATTCTAAAATTATAGAATTTTAATTGTAGTTAGCTTAAAATTGAAAATTGATTCTAGATTGTAGAGAAGACATTAAGATTTAATCATTTGAGATTGGAATATTAAAATTAAAGGATAAATGTCAGTATCAGAGCAACCGCACACCTACCCCTCGCTGCGTAAGTTAGGTTGGATGTTGAGTTAGGGAAGGGGTACGTACACGTAGTCTCTCAGACACTGATTTTGATCCAAAACAAGATACCAAAAAAATTTTAAAAATCAACAAATGTTTAAGGACAGCCTGATATAGATTCTTTGTATGCTTTGTCGATGCTAGCAATTTAGAAACTTCTTATGCTGGAGAAATTAGGCTGGGTGCAAATTTAAATGCAAGCTGGAGTTAGGATCACCTCTCAATTTCTTGTTGATGTAGTGAGATTTCTTCGAGTGAAAAGATCTCACAGTTGTTGTGTTCGGCTCTCTTTCGAAGCAAATCCTCTGTAACTATGTGAAAAAAATCACACACAATGGTAACCAGATAAAATCAAAATAGTTATGTTAATCTTAAACCAATTATGAAATTCTTACTTCGGACCACGTTTACTTCGTAGGAAGCGTTATTCGACAGGCGTTTCTTGCAGTCGTACTTTGTAACCAGGCAAGGGCATAATACTTGTCCCCATAGTAACTTGCATTTAAAAAAAGTGGCGAAAGCCTGCCTCGATATTTTCGCAAATCTTTCCGTCTAAGGAAAGTTTCTGACTACTTTCCTACTGCACCAAAAGCTCTTTATTCAACTCCCAAAATGATGAATGACTCAAATTTAACATCCTGTCACACATCAGTCATGCATTTCAAAGGATATAGCATGTTTCATGTATTATCTCAAGTTTGACCTGATCATGAGCCAAACCAAAGATAGTAATTCAACGGTAATTAGTCTCAACCACTTCTCTATGCTTCATCGCATAAAAATAGAGGCTATTTTTTGAGGAAATCTCTACCACTCGCCGTACCCGGTTTTGTTTGGACCCATATTTATCTATATCCTCATATCACCTGTATTAAATTAATTGCGGCCTAAATCAGATGCCCTTTATAAAATGAATACCCAAATAATTTTACATCAATATATTTCGATATTTATTTCAAATAAAACGATTTCAAATCTGCTCCGCTTATTGTTAGTCTCATAAACGATTGTATTAGCCACGCCCATGAATCGTTTCCCCCCACACTTGATTGTAACAGCACGATTTCAGAAATAGCAGGGTTCAAGCACATGCACATTGTTATGTTACAAAAAAAATGCTTTTACTTCCATTTAGTTAAGACCTTGGTGCGAAGGGTTTTAGGTGAATAAAAATTTGAATTGTCAACGTTCTTGAATAACCTGGAATTTGTTTCCTAAAGACCGGACACTAGCGAAAGTAAATTAAGGTGCAGTGTATAAATACTTAGTTTTGAGTGTGCACTTCTGTTCATTAAAGAATTTTATTTTAAAATAGACTCTCGCGTTTGATTATTGTCTCAAACGTTTCATTAATTTTTTTTAGGATTCCGTTTTCCTTGCCTTCTCCAGCTGAAAAGCCAGTGTCTTGACGTCAACGCTCTAGACATCCGGGACTTCCAATATGGCGGCGACCAGTTAGCCAATGAGAAACGGCGATGTTTGTACGCTGGTTCCACACTTCATAGCTTGAAGGTATCTCCTCCAAAGGATTGTTTAGAGCAGGAAAAGGAATCAAAACGTAGTAGTAGGCCAAGAAGAGGAAGCGATCTTCCCTCTTCCATCGGGAAATCGCCAATTTGCTATCCACACTTACCATGGACTCTGTGGAAGTAAGTAATGAGTAGAGATCACGTCAAGCATGCTGTTGTTGTCGTTACGTACGGCAAGCACTCGCCTCTGTGCAAACATACTCGCAGTCTTAGGCTTATTTCGTCGCCTTTTCATCTTTTATACTTCAGGCAAAAAGGCCAGGTATTAATCCTGCCCCTGCTACCAGTCATCCAGACCCATTTAATCGAAAGTCTGTGAGGAAACCGCAGAAAGCTCAACAGAAAAAGCAGCAAGGATCGTCAAGGTTTCGGTCTAAACCAAGCTTTGAAATTCAACCTCTTGGTGCTTTGAAAGGTGGGTGGCAAACTGACCGTAAAGCAGACCTCATTCCTCGTTGGTTAATTCTTACATATTTTAAATCTAAATTTTTATCCTAAATAACCGTTTTGTTTACAAACCAGACGCATCGCCAGCCGAGCAGCAGGAATTGTTCATCAAGAAACTACAGCAGTGCTGTGTAGTCTTCGATTTCATGGATCCAGTTAGTGATCTAAAGGGGAAAGAGATTAAGCGAGCATGTTTAAACGAACTTGTGGACTATATTGCATCGGGTCGTGGAGTCCTCACTGAGCCGGTGTATCCAAAAATAATCGAAATGGTGAGTGAGGGTCAAAAATAGCGATTTGTCTTAGTGCATTGTAGGAAACATCGGGGAGAGAGGATGGTTGTATGCCCACAGTTACACAGTGCAAGCTAAATTGGTTTGCGTCTATCTTGTGAAGGAGTAGGGCCCTTGAACTTTCATATGTCCAGCTCTCAGCAGTACATCTTTCTCTTATTGCATATATTCAATGTTTGGAATTATCCTTGCGCTTGAAAAAAGAAAAGAACTAGGGTACACCGTGAATGATAATCAGCATCCGTCGCTAGCCAATGTTGTTTTACGCAAGGCGTTAAACAAGTTAAGGAACTCACTTTTGACAAAAGATTCAGGAGTTGAAATTTATTGCACATACATCATTACCCGTCAAACTTTGTGAATGGAAATGAACTTTGGAAAATTCTAAAACGCTTCCGGACAGTTGCAGCAGAATGCTGATAAGTCCTCCACTTTCCTTGCCGGGGTATTAAATATGTCTCCCAATGTAAATATCATTCCCTGCAATGTTTGCTCTGTACACTCAACTACGGCTAAAAGTGCATCTGTGAATTGTTCCTGTACATTCCCTCAGGTCTCCCTGCGAGAGCTCATTTTTTTCAGTCAGTCGAACAGTATTGATAAAGAGATCAGTTTACCTGATATTGCCGCAAACAAGGAATAACCTAGCGAACACGTCTTACGATCAGAGTGTTTGCCAAGTCATGTCTTGAACTTGTTATGATACAAATCCCTGAGTAATGAGACAAATTAAACACTTGGAAGTCACCTTTTTCTCTTTAAACCTCAATCATGCTTTTTACCTTTCGAGATTTTCTAATTTTTTCTTTACCTCTTTCAATCAACGAGTAAGATATTTACCGGCTGTGGATTAATATTTTTACATTCAATTCTTCGCGTGCTTTATTCTTGTGTTTTATTGTACTCTTACAATTTCTCAAGCGAAGTAATTTGCTGCAGGGTATTAGTTGCATACTTCCTTATTTTAAGTTCTTAATTTCGAAGAAGTTTTGCGGACATAAGCGGAGAAACCATGACCAGTAGTGATTTTACACTTTCATAGTGAATTGCACTGGTTTGTTTACAAGTTACTTTATATGTGCAATTGAGAATGTTTTGAAGTTATGGTCATTTAATTTGTGTCAGTACAGATGTCCCTTTATCCAGAAATCAATTTTGGAGAAGAACATGTACCACAACAAGGCAACATAATTTATATCTTGCTCTGCATTGAGCAAATTGAAAATATCAGTGTGTATAAGCAATCAATATGCTACAAGATTGATTCTGAAAATCAGGTGTTTTCTCAAATTACAACTATCTAATGAAATTTATCTCCAAAACTACACTTGATGTAATCACTGCAAAAAGTCATGAATGAGTGAGGGATGTTTGAAGTGGAATGGATTATATCGGATGGAAATACAGACAGATCATTCAGAGTTAATACCTTCTGTCCATAGTAGGGCTTATCATGTACTCTGAGATCAACAAACATTTTCTCCACTGAAAACACTAAAATTTTGAAAAAAGATATTGGTAAATATTTATTTTGTCTTTCTTGACAGGAAGACCAATGTCTATAGGTGTTTTTTTCAGAGGATAATTGATTCCGTGAAATGAATTTGTTCACTTCTAAGTCTCCTGATTTTCAGAGTGATAAATTGTTGTTATGTTTCATAGCATTTTTTGGTTAAAACTTTCGTGTTAGAAACTCTCCATCAATACTTTGCACTTGAGGCAAATGGCTTCATTGAATTATATGCAAGTAAAATAATTATAATTGTCCAAAGTAGCTCACAGCTGGTGAACATATTGAATTGTTTGATATCACCCACTGCTTCTCTGCTAGGTTTTTATAAGTAGTAGCTGGTATTTGGAGTTTAGGTACTTTCAGTTGGCAGCCTGCTCCTTGAGAATTTCTAAGGAATTATGATAATATTCACAGAAATTATAATTGATTGGCTAGACAAAACCATGCAATTTTTGGTGCCTAATAGAAAACTGATCAAAAAGATCTTCATGAGAAAACCAATATTACTTTGTTAACATGTTCTTTTATCTTATGGGAAGAGCATCTAATTATTCAACTTGGCTCTGGACTGAGCCAAATCAATTCAAATCATCTTCAATAGGCATACAAATGGCTTTGTGTTTCTTCAGTTTTAGTTCAAATGTGTATCCTAGTGTTAATGTAACCTCTCCGACTTTGCTACTCTCACCATGCTGATCTCCCCCACATAAGTAAGGAAAGTGTTGTAGTTTATGATTTTGAACAACCTATGATGATCCTTAATACCAGAATTATTCTAGTAGGGAACCCTTTACTCAGGAATTACATGCCTTCAGTACTTCCCATCAAGTGCTACTCCCTCAGTGCAGTATCTTGAGTCTCCAATGAGCAACCACTTCTCTCGATTTGTCTCTGGCACCAACTTGGTAATGAGATGTTCACTGCAACACAGATATATCACCTTGATCTTGTAGAATTTCCATGAATAGGTGTATTCTTGAGTAAATTGTTTTGGCAGTATAGATGAAGTTTCTTTAAAGTCTTTGTATGGTAAGACTATAGTATATTGACATGTATGCCCCCTCTAGGCCCTGGTGGGTACTTGAGTGTGTGGCGACCTTGGGGATCTTTTTCTCTTAGATGTTTAGTGTTTTCTTACCACAATACAAGAATGAATTTCTTTTTTCCAAAGAATTTTTTATATGAGATTGCATGCACATTTACTTAGGTATTGAGTAAAGAGTTTTTATGATTTAAAGATAGATTAGTGTTTCAAGGGGGGAAACTAGGTGTGCTATGTTCTCTCTTTCTATTTCCCCCTCTCCCTGGCCAGGCCTGCCTTTCATTTTGACCTCTTGTATATAAACAACTGTCTGTTCTGTTTTTCTCTAGTGCCCACCTACAGTCGAAATGTACATAGAAAAATTGTGAAATTACCAAAAATGCACTAATACCTAAATTTCAGAGTAAAGAACAAAGAGCTTTTTAGAAGCACAAGCATTAGCTTACACTAAAATTATCAGCTGGTGATGTTCATCACATCAGCTGTTCAGGTTATTTACCCTGTCATTTTATCGGCTGGTTCTTTTTGTTAGCCTGGATAAACATACATTATATTTTCACCTAATTTTCCTTGGTCCCAAAACAAGTGATGTGTAATGTTTATTCTAAGAGTTTAATTTTTGAAGCTTGAGAGAAATCTTTGTTTTCTCATCAACATTGTGGCTTATTTATCAGCAATGCAAGAAAAATGGGGCATTACAGGTAGATGGGTTAAATTGAAAGGAATCAAAAATGGGATATCCGAGCAACCTTAAAAGAAAAGGTCCATGCAACTTTTTTTTTCCAAGGGTAATTTTTGAAGTGTCGATCAAGAAGATTGACAAATCTTGTTTGTATTTAAGGGATCATTATTGTCACAAAACAACAGGAATAAGCAAAAACATGGTGATCCAGTCACGTGATTAAAACTTCCTTTTGTGCCTTAATAGGTTGATGCAAACATTTTTCGTACTCTACCACCGTCTGACAATCCAGACTTTGATCCTGAGGAAGATGATCCAACTCTAGAAGCCTCTTGGCCTCATTTGCAGGTGAGATCTATATTCATGTTCATTGTAAGCTGGTCAAAGCAGTATGTTTTTATCCTGGTCTGAGGTACATGCAATCTTTTCAAGTTACTTTGGTAGTTTTATACTTGTTCCAACGTGCTCTGGATTAAAGTGGTCCAGGTTTGAGCCCATCCTGAGGTCAGTGCATCCATTCTTAGAAACATTTCCCTTTCTCAAGGTCTCATTTAGTAGTAAAAGTTTGTGGGTTTCACATAATTATTAGTTAGCTGGTGACAGTGTTTGGCATACCTTCTGATATGTACTAGTTAGCATTTTAGCCAAGAGAGACATATTAAAACTCTCCAGTTGCTTCACATGTGGGCTAGTTTATCAAGATTATGAACTATGTTTCTGAGGAGTTTAGGCCAAATGTAATGAGTGCTTTTTGGAAAAGGTAGAATTTGTCTTTCTTGGAAGGAAATCTCTACATATTGGTTTCCCTTGAATGGCAAACATTGGAAGAAGCAGCAATTTAGCAAAATTGATTTTAAGAATAGTGATCCTTTAACAGGATGACAAATAATGACCTTGAAAAATGCAGGGGAGATGTTTTGTTCAAACTATGATGTACCTCTGTAAAAATTAAAAAAAATGTGTTTTGAGACAAAAGGATGCACTGCTGAAATATTGTTACCATTTTTTTTGCCATTAGAAACTCTCCCAAACTATGATTTTTTGTGTATTTTCCAAAGTAAAGATAAAGAAGTAATATCCGTTTACCAAAAATTCTCTGTACAGTTACATCAATTTGTTTTCGCTTGTTGAAGGCATAATGGTGCATGTGAAAAAATTTATTTCAGTGACATTTTGAAGAAAATAATGTTTTAAGTTCAACTCCTGTGATTTCTATATATACTCTTTGGCTTTTAGATATTGATTTAAGTGGCATAACAGATTTGTTGTTTTTTATTTGGAAATTGTAATGTTTCCTCAGTATTTACTCTCTAAATCTACATTTTAATTAATTTGTACAAAAATTTCATTGACATCTGAGGCAGAGCACTTTGAAATGTGATTGTCTTGAATTTTGGAATGGCAGCCAAATAAAATATGTTTCTGTTAGCTGGACATCAAACTGATGTTACTTTTTTTATCCTTTTTAATATTATGTGGGATGTTTATTCAAGGTGTGACATTTAGGTGGTTCTCTTCTCCTGTAATAATTTACATACCACTTGTGATTAAAATGTCACTTTGGGTGTATGATAATCCAACATTAAATGAAATTGATCCTACATTCTACATAGGAACATCATCTTGGTACTAAGAAAAAATCTTGTGGGAAAGATTTAACAAATAAATAGGCAAAGAAAAACTACTTTACAGTTAGGGCCATTTTTTTCTTTTGCTGGCTCTAGGAGGGTTACATTTGTTTTATTTATTATAATTTATTTTGAGTTCACCAACTGTATGTCTAGCTTGACAAGATTTACAGTAGTTCCAGCTACACGATTGAGATGTCTCATCGCAAGGAGTTCCTAATAAAAGCAGTTGAAGTTTACTTAATCACTTTGGTTTAAGTTTACTTAATCACGTTAATTTTTTTCTTGGCTGTAAATTCCAAATTTTGGAGGGTTTTATCAAGTGAGATAATTCCATGTTTAATTATATTTCTGCCAATATAAGTAATTACATGTTTGCTTGTATTCTTATCGTGATAAAGTGCAACAAGATGGAAAAAAAACTTTAACATTGTTGATATTATTTGCCTTTGCCCTTTTTTCAAAAATCACAATGTCCACATTAGATACCTTTTTCCATCCCCGGAATTTTCCTTCAGTTTACATTTAAGTATATTTTAAATTTCTAACTAGGAGGTACTTTATTAATTGTAGTTACTTAGCTGATCATAAAATTTTTAAATCACAAAGGGCAAAATTTCCCTGTCGATATCCAGTATGATAAATGATCACTAATACAAAACTTGACGAATAGATTGATAATTAAGGTATTCTTCTCTCTTCTAGTGTGTGTGTGTGTTTTTTTAGGTTTTTTTTTGTTTTCTCCAACAACCTTGTTTTTTTATGTTTTAATTCACTATAAATGAAAATGATTATTTATTCTCTGCCCTTTCTAAGCTCCTTGGAGAAAGTACAGGAATAACCTTGCTTCCCATTTTCTTTTCACTGTTTTGCAGATAGTCTATGAATTCTTTCTTCGCTTTCTGGAATCTGCTGAGTTTCAACCCACCATTGCCAAAAAACACATTGATCAGAAGTTTGTCCTACAGGTAAAACTTCTTTGCTACAAGTCTTTTCTCTGTCTTTTGTACATATCTGGTGATTTTAGTACTGAGAATCCGGTGTTAATTCAAAAAGTCCCCTTATTGATATTTTTCTTTCCTCTTGTTACCTTTATCATGTGCTGATGTTGTAAGGAGAAATTGCAATCAGGGAGGGACTGGGTAAAGACAACTAGTAAAGACACCTTGTTTTGACTTACATACAGACTTCAAGCAATACCGCTGAATAAAGACATTAAAAAAAGCTATGGGGGCATGTTGTTAGTTTAAATTCATTACCAGTCGATGGGTGTGGGCTCATTTAAGGTTATTGTTTGTCAAAGGCAATCCTGTATCAGGAGCTCCCCCAGTAGAAACTGCTAACTGGCACCAGCATACTTGAAAGATAATGGTAGAAATGTACTCTGGCAACTAGATATGAGCCAATTCAAGTGTTAGTAAAGCCTATGAGTGAAAAAAGACTGTGTGAAATGCAGGAAATTCAAGATCAGCTTTATTTTCCCTGAGGACTCCTCGTAAAAATTCTCCCTCATTGAAAGCAGCAGCTGTTGACAACATTAGCTCAAGATTGAGTCAGGCTCATTTACATTGCTCACAATTTCTTAAAACTTTATGGATAGAGTTGTTTCCACTCTCAAAAATATTCTGTTGACAATATATAATTTTTTCTTTGTATTTTGCTATGTAGCTTTTAGAACTCTTTGATAGTGAAGATCCTCGCGAAAGGGATTTCCTCAAGACTGTGCTTCACAGGATATATGGGAAGTTCCTTGGACTTAGAGCATACATCCGAAAACACATCAATCACATATTTTTAAAGTATGTGCACAAACTTTTTTGGCACCTTTTGGTGGTTTGTTTTCTCAATTCATGGTGAAGTGTAATGTTTTGTCATTGCTTGAAAAGGGTTTGAGAATTTGATTTATGTTGTGTTGCAGATTTGTTTATGAGACAGAACACTTCAATGGGGTGGGAGAACTGCTTGAAATCTTAGGAAGGTGAGTTTGATAACTATTCATGTCTCTGTAACCTTCACAAATCAGCTTCTCTTTTACCTTTTTTAATTTTTTTTTTTTCGTTTTACGATGCAAGTTGAATCATTGGCTGAAGTTTTCTGATACATGAAAGGAGCATCATTTTTAAGAGGAGATTATAGATGAAAGATAGAGAAAAAAACCTATGTTATTTTGATCATTTACTTGTATGGTACATTCAGTGACAGAGCTGAGATTTTTACCAAAGCTGTGTAACATGTTAAGGCTGGATAAAGCTTGCTATTGTGGACATAGATAGAGTGAAACAGCTCAAAAGTTTACATTTATGGTTTGCTTAGTCTAAAGTTGAACATTTGAATTTGTCTGAGTGAAGATGGATGGTTGAGTTAGATTTAGCCATGTTCAATTTATTGGAAAATAAAAATGATTTAGTACTCAGTGATATGAAGATTGTCTGTGTTTATTTTTCAGCATCATTAATGGATTTGCACTCCCTCTTAAGTCGGAACACAAGATGTTTTTAAACCGTGTGTTGATTCCTCTTCACAAAGTCAAGTGCTTAGGCCTCTACCATGCACAGGTCAGAAAACAAGAAAACATCTAAGGAACATTGAACAGACGCCTGAAAGTTGTTGTTGATTCCTTGTTGCACACTGGGACAGATGATGAGATATTTTCTAGCATTCATTACATGGTTGCTTGTAAATCAGTGCTTCTTTGCATAAGATACATTAACACAAAGGAATTACTTGATGTTATTTAAACATAATATAGCCGTCTTCTAGACTTTGTATAGCCCTGGCAGTGGTTTTACCTGTCAAATCCCTCTTCACCTTTTCACTCGCAAGATCTCAATATAAATTATCCACTTTATATACCATAGGCTTTTCATAATTGTACAGCTCTGAGAATTTGTTTAGAAATCAAACAATATTCCTCGGAGATAGTTTTCCTTCTTGTCATCTCTTTCTGTTTTAAAATTTTTTGATACTGTATGAGGAAATTCCTCTTTGGTCAAATTAGTAATGAAAGGTCTAATTTTCATGCAGGCATTGATGCATCATAACAGGAAAAGAAGATTGCTTACTTCTGTTTTATTCATTCTTGAGTAATGATAAGCTTATCAAGATAAAGGTTTTTGCAAATCAAATAAGGATTGTTGCACAACTTCTATCATTAAACATTTCCTTTGGCTGGAACATCATACAGGTGTTAGTTCTACTTAAAAAAAATAATCAGACTGTTTGTGGTACCCTGTTTGTTGATGTACCCTTTTGGTTATTTTTTCTTATCTTTCTTGTTTGTCTGTTGATTTCAGTTAGCGTACTGTGTTGTTCAGTTCTTGGAAAAGGATGCCACACTTACAGAAAATGTGAGTATTTTTAAATGGGAATTTTGATTTTTCTGGTGTTTTCAGAGGTAATGTCTTTTTCTTTCATGTGATGAAAGATAATGATGTTCATTCATGAGTGAGCTTTCTGCATACATGGAGAAGTTTTGGAGAGTTCATTCTTAACCCTTTAACTCCCATGAGTGACCAAGACAGAATTTCTCCTTAAAATATCATTACAATATCGACCAGATAAGTGATGAGAATGAAGAAAAATATCAATTTGGGGATAAATAGTTGATCCAATACTAAATTCGCTGAACTAACATCATAGGAATTGTATTGTTGACAGTGAGGAGAATTACAAATTGGATCTGGGAGTTATAGGGTTAAAGTGTGACAGTTTTTCTCTCACCTCTTGGTTTGGAAACAGGGAAAAGGTCCAACACCAATGGGTGACTAGGCTTGTTAGTGACTGTAGAATCAGTATGCACATTCTTCTCCACGTTTCCTACAACACTGACTGGGAGAATTTGTTTTATGATCATGAGCTTGTTTAGATGGTGATTATTTCCCTCATTCTCATGGCCTCAATGTCTCATTTACCAGAGATACTTTGATATTAGTCATCCTTAGAGGTTTAAGTGTTAGATCTGTCTGTTTCTTACAGGTTGTTTTAGGCTTATTGAAATACTGGCCAAAAACAAGCAGTCAAAAAGAGGTGAGGAGGAGCCTATTGTATCAGTGAAATCCTTTTCTCTTTTCCAACATCAAAGGAAGATTGTTTAGTAATTGTTGTCTGTAGATTGGGTTATTTGTCTACCAGAATTTCCACTCTGTATTGCATAACCTGTGAGATGTTGACAATTTTCTCAGTGTAAACAACCATGTAATTCAACATGTACACTCATTTCCTAGTTACAGTGTACATGAGAAACTTCCCTTAAAGTCATCTGTAGATTTGGAAAGCTTGTGCATGTTTCTAGTTAAGCTTAGTACTGGTCATGTGTTGGAAGAATTCTGGAAAGTTATGCAAACATTAGACCGTCTTAGGTTTGCATAACTGTTTCTTAACCTCCTTGGTTTGTTGAAAAGGCCATGTAAACGAGGAACAGTCTTCTTCTGCATAACTTGTAGATGATCAACTTAGTAAGGTGCAGCTTAGCAGTTTCTTTAGCGACAAATAACTTAATTTATTTGATCTTCTTTGCTCCCTGTTCATACAAAGGCATTCCATTCGTATTATAGGTGATGTTCTTAGGCGAGATTGAAGAAATTCTAGACGTAATAGATCCAACCCAGTTTCAAAAAGTAATGGAACCGCTGTTTAAAACTATCGCAAGATGTGTGTCAAGTCCTCATTTCCAGGTAAGTATGCTGGGAACTTAAGCCTGCATGCAAGCAGTCAGCGGCGCAGTGCCTTGAACAGCGCAGCAGCGAGAGATGAAGCAGCTTGTGTTGTAGGAAGCGCATGGCATTCTCGTGTGTGCCAGTAAAGACCTCCACAATTGTGCTAATGGGCGAGACGCGAAATTGATCTAAAGTCTCGCCCTTGGGAATCCGGCTGTCGACAAGACTGCTTAGATTATCTCTGTTCAAATACAACAATGCAGCCAAAAGAAAGGATTACGCCCAATAACAAAGGGAGTGGCGTCTCACACGCTGTGAGAATTTTGTCAAACCTTTCAAGTAAGCTGCTAATGCTATAGCAAGGCATGCGCAACTATTCCCTATCAGGGCATCACGACTGCGTTTACAAACCTCTTCTAAATTCACCCATCGGAGGATTGTTTCGTTAGCTTCACCGTGAATGAGTCCAAACTTACCGAGTAAAAGTCAGTGGCAAATTAGCAATAACAACAACAACAGAAACAAAACAATAATTTAAACGTAGCATGTTACCGTATTCTTTTCAAGGGAAATAATTTTTTTTGGGGGGGGGCTAACTCTAGCCTGAAGGGAAAGGCCGGTGATTTCTCGTAAGTGCGCACAGTTTACGCGTAAACCAGGCATAGTAGGGATGTGCAATGCAAAATAACCTTAAAACTTGGGGGGTCGGGAGAATGGACACAGACTCTACCAGTGGCCTCTCTAAAGAAAAATAACTCGTGACACGTTTTCTCTATTTACTTTTCAGGTCGCCGAGCGAGCGCTTTACTTCTGGAATAACGAATATATTATGAGCCTTATTGAAGAAAATTCGAATGTCATCTTGCCGATCATGTTTTCATCCCTCTATAGGATATCCAAAGACCACTGGAATCAGTAAGTGTTAGAACCATTGTGACGCTGTTATTGTCGTGTACTCTCTTCTTTGTGCGGGCTGCGTGGAATCGTTTCAAGTTTCGGGATCGTTTCCCTTTAATCCTTAACCTCCAAGCGTCGTTAATCTTGTTGAGAAGGATTATTATAAACAATTTAATGTGTCTGGCAACAAACTTATACCACACCTCTTGACTTAAGACTCGAGTTGTTAAGGTACACGCCAATTCAATTTTCTGGCGCAGTCGTGGTGCGGGAGACTGAGGTATTAGTGATGAGGATCAATATCCTTAACACCGAGCTGTTTTATAGTTGACAACCATATCGAGAAAAGGTATTCCCGGCTTAAAGCGCGACCTCAGGAAGGCGTGTTAAAATCTTAGACAAACCCTTTTGGATTTTTTATCCTGGATTATTGCTAATCACTCTTTAAAAAAACAACAAAAACAGACATCAAAGATTAACAATCAGCACGGGTGCTGGTGTCAATCTTTGTCTGATTCTCCGCTAACGAAGTGTCGTTACATTAGTAGTTGAAATTTAAACTAGGAGGGTTTGAGGTTTCACGGTTTTGACGCTGAAGTTGTTGTTCCTGAGTCTGTCGCAATTCGTGAAAAATCAACCTTTCAAGTAATCAGCAGAAAAGTGATAATGATATGCGTTCGTTGACTTGAATTGATTGATTGATTGATCGACTGACATTGATTAATCGGTTGATGACTGATCTTTTGATTGTCTGATTGATCGACTGATAGCGAGAAATTAATAGCTCTCGTGTTGTTATTTAATTTGCTTTGTGTCACCATTTAATATTTCTTAGTGCAATAAACCAGATGTTAAAAAGCGCTAAATGCCGAACTGGCTTCTTTTCCTTTATAGAACCATCGTGGCCCTCGTTTATAACGTTTTGAAGACCTTCATGGAAATGAATTCAAAACTGTTTGACGAGCTAACATCTTCCTATAAAAGCGATAGACAAAAGTAAGAGTAGTTTCTTATGTTATAATGGTTTATGCGTTTTCCTCTGGCAGGAGCCCATTAAGTGATGGACTCCTGCCAGAGGAAAACGCTGAACAATGGGCTCCAGCTTCTGGTTATTTTTTTCTATTGTTTTTGGTGATAAAAAAGAAATAGAACAAGGCAGTGATTAAGAGCTGATTCGTAATTCTACTTTCAAGCTTGAAAGATACATGCAGAAATTTCAGCTTGAGAGCGTGTGAATTTGTCCAAACAGAATAGGAAGTTAAAATTGAGTGCAGAGGGTTAAGGTAGTAATGTGTTATTGAATTCTTATCTTGTGAATTTTTTTTTCAACTTGGTTTAAAAAAAACGTTTGAGATGTAAAATATGAAATATAAAATATGATAAATTCAGCGAATGAACTCAGAGAATATGGTTACTCAACCTACCTTCACGATTAGACTGGTTCTAAATTTTTGTTTTGTTTTGTTTTTTTTTTCATTTGAAAAGGGAAAAGAAAAAAGAGAAAGAAAGAGATGAGCTATGGAAGAGACTCAGTAAGTTGGAATTAGATTCCAAAAACAAGTCAACTTCCTCGGTGTCCAGTCCCGCGGGTTCCAGCCTTAGTATCTCGACCAGTTCGGGATCCGGGTCAGCGACGAAGAGCTGAGCTAGCGGTCAGACCTTCTCCGACATTTTGATTTGTGTGACAGTGTTTTTGCAACACTCCGTTCACCAGTGTCTGAAAGAAATTATTAATTTCCAATTTGAGGAAGTTGAACTTCGACTTGCCACACGTTCTTCGAGAAAGCACGAAAGAATTTATTAATTTAAGATGTCGTATATTGTTCAGACTACTTGAGAGTTGTTGCGTACCCGTCTGTTAAAAATAGTAGTTACCTCGGCGGAGGTTGGTCGGTGAAATGAGCTTCGACAAGCGCCATTTTATCGTGTAGGTTGTTTAATGCGCTTTGTCGGCCCACCTACCCGTCGTTGCTGGGCATGCGCAGTCGATCCATGTTCATATGGTGGGTGGTCTGGTCTTGTCATACTTGGTAGCACAGTAACCATGGTAACGTTTTCTTGTATATGACCGGCGTAGAGTGGTGATTCTCCATAGCTGGTTACCCCTGTAAGCCTGTATGAAATCAAAGCTTAGGAAGAAATAACGTGTAATCAATTTCTGTAGATAGCCCCTTTCTTGACGGGAAACCTCGGCTGTGAAACAGTTTTAATTAAGTGGTGGCCTCTTTAAGACAAATTGTTGCGGCTTGCTAGAGAAAAATTGTAAAGGGAAAGTCATTTTTGTTTTTATCCTGGAGTAATATTACGGCAAAAAAGTTGTACCCCCTGTTCACTATGCACCTCTTTAAAAGCATTGGAGTTCTTTCTTAATTTACTGCAAAATCATCAAATCAACTAATGAAACTTTAAATCAAGAAACACAACGCAGCTTTCCAGCCGAGGTTTCCTTTTACATTTTGCAATCCTGTTTCTCCAGCAGTATTTTCCATGTATGTAAGTTTTTACTCTGAGATGGCTTTTCTTTACTGCTTTCAAACAGTTCCTTTAAGGGACACGGATTAACTGAGTTGAAGGTATTTTTCACGTGACGAGGGAACGAACAATAAACAGTATAGATCTTCATGACGTGC